AAACCCAAGATTCTTGTGGTAAGTGTTTTTTCATTACAAAATTTGAGAGGTCATGAAGAAACATCTGAAGAGGACTAACATTGAAATTAATCTTGATCGGTGGGCAGGTGACTCGGCTTATACCAGATGCAAGAGGCACTAAGTGCAACCAGGAGGTTGAGCCTATATTCGGCACATCACATTCTTACATTCTTCGGGTCCCGTTTAGATCAGACAATGGAGAGGTTCTGCAGCAATGGGTTTCTAGATTTGATATATACCCATATTTGGAGAGGTTTTCCCATGTAAGCACTTTTTGCTAGATAGGAATAACCCTTTTAGTATGTGTTTTGGCTCTATTTGGGATTGAGTAGCCTTAATCACATTGTAAATATAGTTTTATGTCTCATATAACAGGATGCTACTGCCAAGATTGTTGAGACCATGGAAGGTAAACCAGACCTCATAATTGGAAACTACACTGATGGGAACTTGGTTGCCTCTCTCATGTCCACCAAACTTGGAGTTACACAGGTTTAGTCAAAAAACATAAGTAGTTTATTATTTCTTCAAGACTCTTGAGGCTATGTCCGGATCCTGGAAAAGGCCAGGGAAAGGGAAGGAAATGTTAAGAAAAGCTGTTCTTTTGTGTTTTGGTTTACCTAGAAGTTACATAGTAAAATCAGTTATAAATTTATAATATTTCTAATCTTTTTAGATATGTTTCAATTGCTTAGTATCAATATAAAACATATGAATAAAAAGATGAATTCAAAATAAATGTTATAAATAAGCATAATGATTTTGAACCAGCATTTAACATTTTCTACTCATCCAAGCTTTTCCTGCATTTTCCTCTCTATTTTCTCTCCGTAGCATTTTCATGTTTCAACTTTCAAATGGGCCTTAAGATATTTATTCAGTTGATAGTAAAATTTGGAAAAGAGAGATTTGATTAAAGAGTACTAAATAGGCAACAATTGCTCATGCATTGGAGAAAACAAAATATGAAGACTCTGATGCCAAGTGGAAACACTTTGATCCAAAGTACCACTTCTCTTGCCAATTCACCGCAGACTTGATAGCAATGAATACCTCTGATTTTGTCATTGCCAGCACATATCAAGAAATTGCTGGAAGGTTTGTTTTATTTGAGACATTTTTATAGAGGATAATGGAAATTCTGCGTCCAAAACTAATTTTATTGACTAATTGCAGCAAAGCAAAACCGGGACAGTATGAGAGCCATGAGGCCTTTACAATGCCAGGCCTATGCAGAGTAGTTTCTGGCATCAATGTCTTTGATCCCAAGTTCAACATAGTGGCCCCTGGAGCAGATCAGTCCGTCTACTTCTCATTCGCGCACAAGGAGCAACGTTTCACCTCATTTCATAGTGAAATTGAGGATTTACTTTACAAGAACGGGGATACTGATCAACACATGTGAGTCCTAATATGGATATAATGTTATAATATGATAATCTAATCTTATTCTGATGAAAGTTCTTTGTAAATGAATTCTTGATGGGAGTCAGCCCATAGAGTAGGCGTGGGTTCAGCCCATCAGGTCTGACCCCACATCTACTCCATGGGCCGAGTCTAGTACATACTCACCGCTGAAATTGATCATTTCAATATTGCATTGATAACGTCTTAACATGTTCATTTATGAGTTATTACACTACTTAGAGTTAGGAATACTCGACAAGTCAAAACTGATTAAAGTCAACCTAACTTACCTCACCCTCATATAATTGACATGGATCTGGTTAACTTAAAAAAAACCAAACTGACACAAACCGAACCAAACACATATGGTTTCCTATTTAGGCTTTAAAATCGATCGACCCAACCAACACAGAACTGACAAAAAAGCACATGGACCTCAACTGATCCAACTATACCACATAGGCTGTTTATTTTTCCATTTAAGGTTCAGATTTGAAACGAACAAACACCAAACAGACTTAAGCTATTTTCTCTAAGATTCTGCATTTCTAGTTTCTACAATGGGCTATGCTGAATCAGTCCTGAAATTAAACACCTACTTTCATACTAAAGGTTAGTTTTTTCTTGAATTTCCAAAAGTGGGACTTTGGAGGACAAGAAGAAACCAATAATCTTCTCAATGGCAAGGCTAGACAAAGTAAAGAATCTAACAGGATTGACAGAATGGTATGGGAAGAATAGCAAACTGAGAGACTTAGTAAACCTTGTGATCGTGGGGGCATTCTTCGATCCATCAAAATCAAAAGACAGAGAAGAAGCCTCAGAAATCAAGAAGATGCACGATTTAATAGCCAAGTACAACCTCAATGGACAAATAAGATGGATAGCAGCCCAAACAGACAGAAACAGAAACAGTGAGCTATACAGAACCATTGCAGACACAAGGGGTGCATTCATACAGCCCGCTTTGTATGAAGCTTTCGGGTTAACCGTGATTGAGGCAATGAACTGTGGGCTTCCCACATTTGCTACCAACCAAGGGGGTCCCGCAGAGATCATTGTGGACGGTGTCTCAGGCTTTCATATTGATCCTTACAACGGGGACGAGTCAAGCAATAAGATTGTCGGCTTCTTTGAGAAATGCAAGTCTGATGGATCTTATTGGGACATGATATCTTCCCAAGCTCTAGAGCGCATAAACGAATGGTAACAAAATATATACATCCATCCATCAAAACAAGAATGGTCATTTGGCCAGCTTGTTGATTCGGCCATACTACAAGGAAACCAAACCTTAGTTTCGTATATTTGCTTTGCAGTTTTACATGGAAGATTTATGCCGAGAAAGTGTTGAACATGGGATCAACATACAGATGCTGGAGGGAGATGCACTCCAGGGAAAAACATGCAAAGCAGCAGTACCTTGAGCTTTTCTACAACCTCCATATGAGGAAATTGGTAAGACGTTCAAGGTTATAGGTACTGAGTATTACTACTTGGTATCATATGAAGACTAAGTTGCGTTTTCCACTAGAAATGATTTTCTTTTTTGAATCAAGGAGTTCGTAAAAAGTTTATCGATTAGGAACTAGAAGATACATCACTTACCAAGAACTTTGAAAGATAAAATTGATCAATTTAAAATTTGAACGACTGATAAGACTAAAAAACATGGTCACCAAACGGGTGCTTTTAAATTTTTAAAAATTCAAAAAAAGTGATTTTAAGATGTCTACATTGAACACAATCTCCCCTAAAACTATTCCCATTGACATTTCATCTTCCAAATCTTGAATCTTGGTAGTTAGCTAGCATATTTTTGTATTGAAAATATAGAAAAGGACAAATCTTTTTAGATTTAACAGATGAGAAATTGCGAACCATTTGTGACAGGTGGAGAAGGTAACAAGGGGGGTGCCGCGATCTATAGAACAGGCTGGAAAAACACAACCATCGATAAAACCTATGACCGGAGTAGTTTCGGGTGAATCAAAGGGAGAGGCGGCGGCGGCGAAAGAACTGAAGAGGACGGAGGTGGAGGAAGGGGGCGTGTCATCATCACCACCATCATTCAAGCTGTTGTGTTCATGCATCTCTGTTTCTATCATTCTGTATACCTTACTCAGAATTTGTCGCTCTGTAGCATAGAGAATGATCAAGCAGTATATATACATACGCATACCCCCCCCCCCCCATATATACATTATTAGACGGACAGCCACCGCATTAATTTGTTTATGCACTTCTCCAATTCGTTCAAATCAATGATGTAAATGCACTAAATAGTAGGGGTGGGCAAAAATAACGAACCGGCATGATACCAAACCGGATCGGTATGGTACCGGACCGACAAACGGGGTTTGAAACGGATCTCAAAATTTTTTGTCCTGAATCGGACCGAACCGGTTCCAAACAATATCATGATCGGTTCTCATAAAATGAAAACCGGTACCGGACTGAACCGGACCGAAGTATGGTTTATTAAATTTGTACTACTATAGTTTATCCAAAATACATTAATTACCTCATCCGTCCCAAAATGATTTGCAAAGCCAACATTTTTTATCAAAGTTAATGTTAAGTTCTTCATAATTAATACAATTTTTAATAATTAAAATTTACATATTTAGAAACCACATTAAAATCTCTCTAAAGTTGCAAAATCCAAATTAAAATATACGAAGTACGGAGTAGTTTTTTTGAAAGGCCAAATGAGAATATAATTAAAAAGTGAAATTCTAAATAAGTGAATAAAAAGAAATTGTTTGACCAAAAAAGATTGACTTTGCAAATCAATTTGGAACAAAGGTAGTATGATATACGAAGTATGAAAATTGATAAATTGTGTGGATTTTTTGGAGGATGGCTAAACTTTAATTTTTTTCTTAAACACCTGGAAAAAGTGGCATTGTTTGGTATTGGTATGACATGGTACCGTCCCGTTTGAAAATGGACCGTACCGAACGGGTTTGGGTCTAAGACCGAACCGTACCAAACCATTTCAATAGTAACGGTACGGGTACGGGTTCGGCCAAATATTGGACCGGACCGGACCGTGCCCACCCCTACTAAATAAGACTAATATTACTCTTATATTAAATGCATTTTATTTCCAAAGTAAACGTAATATATGTCCCTCTACCTATTATGCTTCTTCCTATAATCTTTAATGTATTTATTTTATTAATTATAAAATCATAATTTTATTTATAATAAAATATAAAAATAATAAAAATATTAATATATCAAGGAAAAATTAAAAATAATAATCCCAACTATTGCCGGTCAGCTAACAATAATCCCAATTATTGATTATTTTTGTATAATCCCAACTATATGGACCGTCCGTCAATAATGGTCCATGACTGCATATTACCTGTCATAACAGGTGAATTTTTAATAGAAATAAAGCTTAATAATTAAAATTTGGGATTATTTATAGGGATTACCTGCTATATCTTTTTAGAAGCTATAAGAATTTATTTATAGTCGCTCACGTCAGACTATTATTGGCGGAAGGTCCCTAAAGTTGAGATTATTCTGAAATAATCAATAGTTGAGATTATTATAAGCGGACCGCCAATAGTTGGGATTATTATAATCAATTTTTCCATATATTAATAATAAAAATGTGAAAATATTAATATATGTAGGCCTCTGCCGCCGCACCCTGCACCTAGCAGCAGCACCGGTCCAATTGCCATAAAAAATATCATCTTACGTAAAAAATGTCACATTCTCGAAATATCATAAAGATTTATTTATTATCTTTGAAAATGACCATCTTCTTTTCAAAGTTACTGACAAATAGCTAATATCGGCATGTTGTTAGTGCTATATAGAGACAAGAGTCACAAGACAGAGCTATTAAGTAGGAGAGGGGGAGAGAGCAACCATATCAATGAATATTCAAACTGTTACAACTGTCTAAGGGACTGCTATTTATACTAGTCATAAATATTAAATGCATTAGAATTCACATACACATGTAAGCTAGTATATGATGGAGAGCACTGACTTGAAGCAGATGTGGGCACGTGACGTGGTTGGCCGTTGGGATCCGTGAGCTAAGAATCTCTTTGTGCCGAGGTCGAGGGCTTCACTCTGGGGACCGAGGTCTGTTTCATGAGGGCTTGCCCGAAGATGGGAATGATCTGGTCTGTATGCATGAGGAGTGTCCAGTGGCTGCTTTGGGCCGATTGTAGCTATTGGGCCTGTTGAGGTGCAAGGAGTATGTGGATCAAGAAGGTCCTGGGGCATGGCGGCATGCATACCATTACAAAAACTTCTCTGACCAATTGGACAGATTAAGAAAATTGTGATAGCAGCTGCGAGTGGAGCGGAGTATGCAACCGCAATCCAAGAGCGCATACCCAGACGAAAACTAAATTCCCACTCACGCCCCGCCCTATATAAGAAATTACACCAAGTAAGAAGTGTAGAATAATTAAGTCATAAGGACCGCCATTATATAATCATTCATCAATGGATGCTCTTCTCATATCTCTAGAGTCAATAATTTGATATGAGGAACTATTGAACTCAATCACTTGTTGTCGTTACTCTTTAGTTTTCTGTTGAGGTCTATCATGTAGGTACTCAAATTGGATCAGTGATCGATAATCAGTGATGATAAGGTTTAGCAACAAACTATGGTGCTAGTTGTACAATATCGTAGTTGTTCCATCTGATTATCATATATCAGACGTTTCACGATAAATCTTCAAACCCATATAAGACCTTCCCGGGAAATAGCAATAAGGGGTTAGAATACTAGTAGTTGTTGAGACCATTGGTCGATGTAATTGAGAGATAATAACTTCCTTTAAAGTCAACCCCAGGTAATAACTTACATTTTGACATTTATACGCCTACTGTATAAAAAAACAATCTATTTGAGGTGGGGTTAGAGATATTTTGTTCCCCCACAGAAAACTTTTTAAATCGTCCCTTTCATAAAAACTCCACAAGATATCACATAATCAATTTATAGGATTTAGAAAGATTCCTAAGACTTTTTTTTTAATTTTTTTTACTCCGGGGGGGGGGGGGGGGGGGGGGGGTCTGGGGGAGGGGGGGCTGGGGGGAACCTGGAGTAATTAGGGTTGAAACTCACTCCATTGAGTTTCCAACCCTTGAGTGCCTAGCGGGATTCGAACTCGAGACCTCCCACTAGACACAGTAACTTCACAACCAGCTGGACTGGAATGCTTGGTTGAAAGATTCCTAAGACTAAATTAATATCTTGTATGCTTTTTCAATTTCGCATGTTGATTTAGCAATAGAAAATACGTAGTAATAATTATTGGGTAGTATATATTATATAAATCGGCAATTTAGAATTGAGAAAAGAGTCAGATAGGCCATCGAACTTACATAAAAAGGTCAAATAAGCCTTTATATAGGAGGCTCTGTCCAGACGTCGTCATTTGGGGCGGTTTCCAGTGGATTTTTTTATGAAATTTTTTGAGCATCTTATTCATTAAGTCTAGTTTACTCATACCAAATTTCAGCTAAAACTTCAATCGGGGAGGCATTCAAATGAATTCTTGAAGATAAAAGTCCAGTTATCTTCAAGAATTCATTTGGGGTGTATATAATACGGAGTATATACTACTCCGTAATAATTTTAATATAGATGACTATAGAGGATAGGGTTCCGTGGGAACAAGTTTTTAATTCAATTCAAAAAAGAATCTTCAATAGAATAAAAAATGGGGAGATCTATTTAAATGACGAAAAAAGATTGAAACATCAATTTGAAAGAAATGATGCTCCAATAATTGGAGAATTACCGTAATGTCCCTTATGTAAACAAGATTATACTCCATATTTGATGATAATCTTCTATATGTTGCACACCTACCGGCCGAGTGGATAAGTTATAAGTAGATATGTTGGTTAATATAGATAGGTACGGTGGATACGGAAGTTTGGAAAAATAGAACAAGTAGCTAGTCATGGACTCGGATCGGGCCGCCCGCCCCAGAACCGGTACTGTTTGGGCCCGGCCTGACCCGGTACCCGGTCATAGGACCGGTCCTGGCCACCCGGAACCGGGAGTTAAACGGGGCGGGCTCGGGTCTCCTAAAAGTGGAACCGGCCCGACCTATTTTTTTTTTTTTTTTTTGGTTTCTCCCGGGTTGGTCTGAGTGTTTTGGGGGGAGGGGGGTTGGGGAGTGGGGGGTGAGGGGAGGGGGGTCGGGGGTTAATTAGAAAAGTAAAAGAAAATAAAAAAAAATAACATAAACCGGCCCGACCCGACCCGGAACCGCTGCCTACCCGGGCCGGTTCCGGTTCTTCCTTCCCAAAAAAAAAAGCCCGGAGGGGCCCAGGCCCGAACCGGAACTGGCCCGGCCCGGGTCCATGACTAAGAACAAGGCGTATGGGGTATATTTGCAAATACTAAAAAATAGGGGCTAGTTTACCAAAAATATTAACTTTTTTAAAAGTTTCATAATAAACAGAAGTACATAATGATCATAGTTATGATAAAAATTCAAAATTTTGACTTGAAATACGGAGTATGAAATATTGTAGCCATGCTAAAAACTTTTTTAAGGAAAAGAACTTATATTAAGATATCAATGGAACTTATATTAAGATATAAGGAAAAGAACTTATATTTTTACCAATTGCAGTAACATGCTGGTCTATCACTTGTCGGTTTGTCATTGGAGGATGCTTGGGACTTGTCTAGGCAGAACTCGCCAAACAGCTCTGTCGATTTAGGCGCTGATATTGGAGGTCAGTCGCCGACCCGCCTCCTAGATCTACGTCCGCCGCCGTTGGTTACTGCCAATCACTCATGGCGGGAGGTCGTCTGTCATCGTTGTTGCTAGGAGCTCGTGGCTAGAGCTTGCTATCGCTTATCACTGTAAGATAAAAAGCTCGTCTGTACCGTGTGCATAGGGGTGGACAAAAAATCAAAACCGATTAATCGTATAAAAAAACCGATAAACCAAGGTATTTTTCGATTAACTGTATTGAACTTTTTAAAACTCGCGGAACGGTTAACCAATAATTATTTATGGTACGATTCAAATAATACTCCGTACTATAATTTTTGTAGCATGCTGCGCTGTGCTTCCCCAATTCCCCTCTGCTGCCACGGAATAATAAAAATCCTAATTGTGCTTCATATGGAATCAAAGTCATCAACTGTATCATTATATGCTACGTTATTGGCAGGTATATGAATTATTATTATTATTATTGGCCGGTATCATGAATATTGAAGTAGTATATACGTTGGTATTATTAGATAAATAAGCATATAGAGTAAGTCAAAGTGCCAAACTATAACTATGAATAGTTTATTACATAGCCAATTTGAACAAACTTTGTCCACTACGGTACGTACAATAGTTTGTTATGGAGGTCAATTCAAAACATAAGTTCAAAAGTATTGACAAGTTCATATATTCCTTTCATGGTTTAATTTTACGGTTTCTCGGTTAATCGTTAATGGTTAACCGAAATATTGGTTAACCAATATTATTTTAATAATCTCTATTATTAATATACGTAGTAATATACTAACAACACACGAAAGCTCTTCATGTTCTTGTGTCTAGACAAAGACTTTTAATTAAAGAAACTTCTCAATCTATTAAAACTAGTTTCCAAGTCCGTATAATTAAACTCCTAAATTATTCTCCTCTATTCTCTATTCCAAATGCATCAAACTTTCTTTCTTTAATATTTTTTTGTAAACAAAGACTCTTATTCAATGAAGTGTGACTTATTCATTTAGTTATCTTAATTTTACTTGGAAGATTTAATAAGCTTTAAACTATTTTAATAGACAAATATGTATAATAACTAGTTTAATTTCTTATAAATTTATGGTCCTATCTTTTTAATTGGTTTATGAATGAGGATTTACATTTTAATTAATGTGGTTGTGTGTGTTTAATTTATAAATTTGTGGTTCGATGTTTTTATAACTAATTTAAAATGTCGTCTTATACTTTTATTTTGAATTTTTACATCAATACGTAATAATTTGTGAATTTTATAACTCACTAGAAATTTTGCTTGCATAGTCATATTTTTTTTACAAAAAAAAAAACGAGGACTCGGACCGAACCGGCCCGTTTCAAACGGGGGTGGGTAAGGTTTGGTTCCTATTTCGAAACTTGGTATACCCGAACCGAACCTACTCGCTAAATGGAACCGGCGGTTCTTGAATATTTATCAATTACCCAAACCGATCCGGACCGTCCCCACCCCTAGATAACGGTATGGAAAATTTATTAACCGATATCTCGGTTAATCGAAAACTGGTTAACCGACCGTGCCCACCCCTAGCGCACAGTACAAACGGGTGTACAATATGTTTTACCCCCAAAGCCCCATCCCTGCCCACAAAGTCAAACTAGATTAGTCCATTCAAAAGAAAAGAATATATCATTCCCAGTTCTGTTTTTAAATCATAACAGTACTAACAGGAAAGGGAAGTCACATTCCATCCATTTCAGAAATTCCTTTCTTGTTCTAAATTCTGCTTGTCCACACTAAGCACCAAGGAATCCCCCCTTTCAAGTGCTATAAACAACAACCTTCTTTCATCTCCCCCCCTATAAAAGCTTCCCTGCCTTCTCATTACTCAAATGCACAAGTCTTAGACAAAGTAACTAGAGAAGCCATTCCCATCTCTGTCTTCTGCTACTAGCTTGGACAGATTCAAGATGACTACAAATGCCATCAACGACGCTCACGCTAAGAAATTTTTTGACAGGTGCCATACTGTTTGTTTTTTCAAAGAGAAAACAGGCAAATAAGCCCTCGAACTATTTGCGTTTTTGCAATCAGGCCATTGAACCGGAAGAAGTACAAATACACCCCTCAACTCATTGAAAATCAAACAATCAGGTCCTTTTTTACCTGCTGGTGCAGGTAAGGAGATGAGAAACTACCGATTCCAGCAGGTAAAAAAGGACCTGATTGCTTGATTTTCGATGAGTTGAGGGGTGTATTTGTACTTCTTCCGGTTCAGGGGCCTAATTGCAAAATCGCAAATAGTTCGAGGCTTATTTGCCTGTTTTCTCTTTTTCAAATCATAATTCTAACCAACCATTATCTCTGAAGTTAAATGATAAAACTAATCAAATCTTGAACCACTGCCCACCTTTGGCATTTTCTTTCTTTCTTTTCTTTGATTAAAAATGGATTGTGTGTGAAGGCTGATATCAGGAAAGAGGCTCTTGAAGCTGAAAGAATTATCAGAAGAGCTAGATCAAGCTGTGCCAAACAAAGATGAAAGAGCCAATTTTTTGGAGGGAGAACTAGGCAAGATTCTGAGTTCTGCACAGGTGAAGTGGTTATAATTTGCATGCATTTATAATAATCCCACAAAGAAAGTAAAATGAAGAAGATAAACCATTGTGCTGGCTAACAATTTCAGGAGGCTGCTGTTGTGCCGCAAAAATCGCATAATGTTGCATTTTCATGTCGACGCAACCCTGGAAGTTGGGACTACTTCAAAGTCAATGCCATGGATTTGTCTGTTGATAGAATCACTGCTAAAGAATATCTAACTTTCAAAGAAATGGTGTTTGATGAAAACTGGTACATTTTCAGAGATTTTATTATTTAGTTAATCTCACCTCTAACTTCTAGTGGTAAGTGGCAATGCCGGTGGTGGAACCAAAAAATATATTTATGGGTGCTCAATTTACACTCTGGTTTACAATTTTAGTCTTATTTCTATAAGTCTCTCGACCCTGGAGTGACTGTATTTCTGTTTAGTGTTTTTTTTAAAGAGTTTAGTGTTTAATACACCTATCATGTTGTTATAAAATCTTTAAATGTAATTTTGACCTATTTGAACTTAAAACCTGAGAAAAATAGATAGCTATTTTCATAACATATTTCGAAGAAGTTTAGAATCATTCTTGATAATATGCACATCAAATGACAAAGTCAATATTTGAAGAAGAAAGAAAACAGTTAGAAAGTTGCCTGTCAATTTTTCCTGGAAAAAATTAAAGTTATACAATAAACATAATTTTGAAGTGATTGTAGTAAACAAAAGTATATGATACATTCGTTCATGAACCAGGGCTATAGATACACTGATACACACATACATATATTAGAAATTGTCCTAAATAGGAGTAAAAAAAAATTCCAAAATAGGACTTTCATGTTTTTATTCCCTAAATAGGAGTAATTCTGCCAAGTTTGGAAAAAAATGTCAATGTTTAAAGTCTAGTAATGTCAAACTTGACAAAAATTTACTCCTATTCGGGGAATAAAAAAGATAGTCTTATTTTGGAATTTCAAATTTTTTTTAGTCCTATTTAGGGAATTTTCTCTACATATATATAGACACTACCGCCGCTAGAGAACGGGGCGGATGGAACGGGCTCACCTCCCTGAGTTTCGCCGGTGATCACATCAATCAAATAATTAAATGCAAATCAACATGTAAGATATTAGACTAATTAAAAGTTGATGTAATGCATGAACAGGGCCAACGATGAAAATGCACTCGAAGTTGATTTTGGGGCATTTGACTACCCTCGGCCTTATCCTCCATCTGGCTTCATAGGAAAGGGGCTCAACTTTATCTCAAAATCCATGTCAAACAAATTTGGTGAAATCTTTGAAGATTCAAAGCTTTTGCTTGACTACCTTCAATCTCTTTATCATAATGGAGAGGTTCGAATACAAAAAATGCTTGGATAATATCAGATTTATTACTGAATGTTATACTTTTAGTATTTCTTTTTTTAAATTTTTATTTTATTATCTGGCACTCAGACAGTTTCTTTTTTATTACAGAAGCTTATGCTCAATAAGACCTTTGATACAGTGGAACAACTTAATGATGCGTTAATAAAAGCTAAACGTCATCTGCGTGATCAACTAAACACGCCTTACAAAGATTTTGAGCACGAGTATTTCCTCATCTTTTTCTTTTCTAAGATTGTAGCCCCTTTAAACATACATATTTATTCTTGATGATAAAGTAGAAGTCTTATGTAATTTAGGTAGTTTTGCATTCTTATTGTGTATATGACTTCTGGAATAAAACCATTTCAGCTCATTGTGTTCCAAATTCCTACAGGCTAAGGGAAATGGGGTTTGGGAAAGGATGGGGGGATACTGCAGGGAGAGTGAAAGAGACAATGGGAATGCTTTCTGAAATTCTTGAAGGGCTGGGCACTGACGGTGTCGAATCATTCTTCAACAGACTGCCATCTGTATTCAACATTGTGATCTTATCCATTCACGGCTACTTTGGCCAAGAAAATGTTCTTGGGTTGCCTGATACCGGAGGCCAGGTCTATCCCAGGCCAAGAATATAATCATCATTTTATGTTTAGATTAGCATCAGGAGTGAGTAACACAATCTTATGGCTTGATTTCTTTTGTCAAATCATGTAGGTGGTTTACATTCTCGATCAAGTAAGAGCCTTGGAGGAAGAAATGCTGCAAAGAATTAAGCAGCAAGGATTGAATTTTGAACCCAAGATTCTTGTAGTAAGTCATTTTTCGTATCAAATCAACCCTCAAACTACCATCAACTATAAGAACGTGCAACCCCAACTCGGCGATACAGTGAAAATCACCCCTTAAATTAAGAAAAAGAAAATTGCAACCAGATTCTCCAACTAGGCGATATAATGAAAATGACTCTCCTAAGCGGTAATTTATCGGTTAAAGCTATGTATACCATTTTTAAAAAAGGGTAAAGGGTCAAATGGACTCTTTTACTATTTTAAATCCATCACTTAAGTCCTTCTACTAAAACACATTACATAAGTACATTTACTTTAAAATACAATCAATCAAGCCATTTTGAACTACTATAGCAGGTTATTTTTTGAAAATTAAATTAGTGATATTGTTAAATCTTATAAAAATTCATATATATTTTAAAAATAATGTTATAATAATATAAAAATAGTATAAAAGTAAAATAGATAAAAATAGTTTTTAAATATAAAAAACATGCTACTCCGTATTACAGTTCAAAAACTGATTAAATGGCCAAATTTATCAAATAAAGTAAACCTACTTTTTTTATCATCAAAACAGACCTCTATTCATATCAAAAGATTTAATCAGGCCTATATTCATATCAATTTTTTTTATCATCAAAACAGGCCTCTAT